GATGTGTCGGATGAAAAGTTCGGCGCAGCAGGAGCGGGCGGCAGGGCGCGGCTGGTTGTTGGCACGGTGCCCGCGCAGCCGCCAGTGCCCCGCCAGCTGTCCCGTCGTCGCCCGCGCCGTCCGCCGCTCTCCGTCCAGCGCCTCCGCGACGCACCAACTACAATTGTCGCAATATATTCCACGCGCACGCATCGAGTGCGACGTCTTTACGATCCTGACGTTTCGGCGCAAAAACTCTCGCTCGGCGTCACCGAGAGTCCGCGAATTGCGCGAAGTCCGCTCCGGCTCCCGAGCCCAGTGGATCTAGGTCGCCCGGTCGAGCGGCAGCGGGATATTTTTATTGGCGCCACGCTGCAGACGTACGAGCGCCTCGGCCGCGCACTTAAATAAATTAATTATTATTTATAGCTTAGAACATTAAATCTCATTCCGTAAACATTGGCGGTTGAGGTGAACGCGTGGTCACGTTCCGGTCGATGGATGATAGGAGGAAGTTATGATCGAAGGTCGGGGATAGAATAATTAGTAGTAAGCATACCGCATTTAATTGTAACCGTGGACATTTGTGATTAGTGCATTTGTTAGTGTGCAAGTGCAGTGAGCATGCACCACTTGTACCCGCTGGCGAAAGGCGACCCGCTGTGCCCGCTGGGTTTCCACCCGCAGGTGCGCTGGCCCACGCGCTGCAAGCGCTGCTTCCGCGACTACAAGGAGCACGGCGGGGGCGGGGGCGGAGGGGGGCGCCGACGTGACGACGACTTCGCCTCCACACCCAGCCTCGCCACCTGGACCTCACCCGTTGGCGCTGCACGGTTAGCATCACACGAATCTGACATCCTCCTTTTTACTACATTCCACTTAATTCAAACCCTTGTGATTATCAGTGAAGGTGCGTAAAGATTACTTGACCTCCCTTGATTTCAATTAGCAGCTGTTCGAAGATTATAAACGAAATATCTTACTAATATTATAAATGCGAATGATTGGATGGATGGATTGATGTTTGTTTAAAGATATCTCCAGAACGGCTGCATTGATCTCGTTGAAATTTGGCATAGATGTGGAACATAGTTTGGAAGAACACATAGGCTACTAATTAAGTTTTTTTTAATTCAGAGCGGACGGATCGCGGTCGACAGCTAGTTATTAATAATAATACAAAACCTATAATTACACCTAAGAAACGTATGCACAGAAAGTTTACCAGGAAATGTGTCGAAAGCAAACTGTAATTGGAACACTGGATAAGGAAACTTGAATTACTTTATACAGTAATGTTGTTACAAGAGAACCTAAACTGGTTATAACACTAACTACATGATAAATAAGACCTTTCACATAATAGATGGCGATAATACAAACGTACATATAGCTTAAAGAATTGAACCCACTACAAAAGATATGCAAGATTATTCTAAAACCTATATTCATAGTTCATAGGTTCTTCCTCATTATCGTGAGCTACCAACGCATAAACATCTGAACAAAAAATAAAAAAATGAAATTTATAATAATTTAACTAAACTCTTTTGTTTTTGTTTACATTGTGTTCCACACAGCGTCTTAAATTCGTCTGTTCTGTTGTCTTCAAAAAAAGTTAATTTTTTTACATTTGAAACAACATTTATATTTTTTATATTGGATAGATGTAACTATAAAAATTCCAGTACAAGGTCCTGACAACACGGTTAGAAAGAGATAGTACGAAATGAAACCATAAAAAGCGTTATGTGGCATAATTCCAAATCTCCGGATGTGTTTATGAATTGTTTGTATGGCGAGCGGCGGACTGATTGACGCAACAACGCCACTGACTCGCTACATTTAATCTCAGAATGTACTAATTCGCAAACAGATTTTGTTATTTATACAAATACGTAGAAATAATGCCAATACTAGCATCACATTTATATGTGTTTATGTTCTGACTAGTTCTGGCCCGCAACTCCGTCCGTGTGTATTTAAAAACAAACTTAATAGCCCATCTGTCCTTCCAAACTATGTTTTACATCTATGCCAAATTTCAGCGAGATCCGTTCAGCCGTTCCGGATATACCTTCAATCAAACATCCATCCATCCAAACAATGGCATTTATAATATTAGTAAGACGTCGGATTAGCAGAGCTGAAACAGTAACTACACAAAGAATTCATATTATTTAACCCTTATGTTCGTATTATATTTTGTATAGCATACCATACCTACAACTTTATAAACATATACGATCACTATAAAATAATTTTTAACTTTGTTTTTTGCTTTTCTTCAAAATAGAAATCTTGCCACAATAAGGGTTAAGTAAATAAATATAAATCTATCTATCTACTCAGCCATGAGACGCCCACTGCTGGGCATAGGCCTCCCCCATAGATCGCCACGATGAAATATAAATACTTAATAAAAATGTACTGTTTAAAACATGTGTTTTACGTTAACATTGACTAAAATATCGTGCACTTGGTTTAGTATTCATGGAAATATTCGTTACCATGAAAAGCAATAACAGACAATGTGCAGATACTAGTAATAGGGATACTCGAGCTGTGCCAAGAATCCATCTGCAGCGAGTAAATCTATCAAGGAATAACGCACTTACAGTTATATTAAGATTGCACGCATTCAGACTTACTACTTCATTAGTCCAAAGTATAATTAAGAACGCAGTCATGCCATTAAATACAGAAATAAACGTATTAACGCCATATTAACGTAAGAACGTAGGAATGCCTAATAAAATAATAATATGCAATACTTATGCGTAAAATTATACAAATATATTGTTATTCCTCATACTATATCCTAATCTTCTTATTCATTGTCCTTCACTTCTTATTCATTTAGTTCTCTTTTTAAAGTAGCTCTTTTTTAATTTCACAGCTGCTTTTGTTAAAAATAATTTAGTTGAATATATTGCAATTAAGCCTAATATACATATAACAGTGGTCGTGATGAAGAAGCGAGCGGAGAGAAGACGGGACGTGGCTGGGCGTCCAGCACAAATCTCAGCTCCATTGATACTCCAAAGAAAGAAACCTTCTCCACAGGTACGAATTTCATGAACCATTTACGTTGTCCTGTCTACAGGTCTTTAATTCGAATATTATTTAAAATTTGACACTGGGATAGTAGCGCCGTCTGTCGGATCCAATGTAAAACATTCCAAAATCAAAAACTACTAATAAATTAAAAATTAATTAAAAAAACATTGTCCAGTGGACAAAATTGTAAATCTAGACCATTCCCAGATCCCCTTGAACACACACAAAAAATTTCATCAAAATCGGTCCAGTCGTTTGAGAGAAGTTCAGTGACATACACACGCACAGAAGAATTATATATATAAAGATGTAGAATTATAAATTTTATGGATATGCTGAAATATAATTTAAATTGTTTAAAGGTATTCCAAAACCTACTAAATTGACTTGCGTACTATATTCTGGTTGTCAATTTTCAACGAAATTATTTCTACAAGTGTAGTTAATGTTATCTTAATTACATCAATGAGAAGCAACGTTTGTATATTTAAAAGAACTATAAAGAAACATTCAAGATTATTACCCGTGTAGTTAGTTTATAAAAGGTTAAATACTTTAATAGCTAAGACAGGCTGCACTACTTAAAGGTGGGTAAAAGTGTTTTTATTTATATCGTACATTTAGAACTAAAAAGCATGCGCTGATCGTGAGTAACAGGATTACCAGTTTTCACTTACTCGCATTCATGTAGCACGTAAAGTCAGACATAACTTTCCTTTTCATAACATTTCTTTTCTCGGCTTAAAATATAATAAGTTTTATTTTGTTCCATACATAACAACACCCATAATATTATCTCTGTTACGGAAATTATTGTTAACATTAATTGGTAAACAGATTATTCTTGTGACTCCTTGAATTTACCGTTGGTTTCTTAGATAAAAATCTCTTCATAAAACATATCGTCATGACGTCATCTTTGAAAAAAACAGAGATAAAAATGTGTTCTAAGCATGGATTTTAGTTTTAGAAACCCACGGTAATTCGTTTAACTTCTGTTAGTTCCAGTGGTCAAATCTTAATGCGTCATTTTCACGTAGAGATCACTAGAAACCTTTTTAATATCCAATCGTTCATGAAACCTGTATCTTGATTACATAGAAGTAGCCAATTGTCACTAACAAGTTCCCTTTGAGTGAATTTTACAACATTATAAGTTCTCATTGCAATTCAAATAAAACACGCTATAATACAATATAGCGAGTTACAAGTTTGAAGCAGTATTTTATCTTTAGGCGGGAACAAAACGAGCACATGGACGTCAACGCCGGACCTGGCGAACGACAACGATACAACCACCGCGGTGACCTTCAGCCTTAAGCTGCCTAAACGACGGTATACGGGGCCTCTGCCTTCCATCGACACCGGTCAGAATATTACAGGTTAATTCCCC